ATATTTTCGTATTCAAGAAGAAGGAGGAGGAGGACATGTTGAACATTTACTAAATTAAATAGCTTATAAAATATGTATAATAATTATTGTCAAGTGTTTATTTTTAATTGTTAACTTTTTGTTAATTGTTTAATTAAAAAAATATTGTTTTAACTACCATTAAATTTAATACATTTCCAAACTAACGTGTATTTTTACCAGTAGCATGGTGAACCCATGAGGACGGGTGGCACACTATTTTTATGGCACCAATCCAATATTATAAATACTTTTTTTACAAAAATATAAATAAAAGAGGTAATTTTTGCATGGGCGGCTCAAGCGCAGCCCTAGGCACACTACTGATTTTTATATGCGTTGTTTAACTCCTAACCTACTCTTAGTTTTGTTGATATGTTAAGTCCAGGATGGACGAATTGATCTAAAAATTCAGTTAAAAAATTGTAAATAGCTCGTTAACTAAGAAAGATACAAAGTTCATTTCGCCATAAAAAAAAATTTGAAAATTCATAGGTCTTTTTGATTTTAAGATCAATAAAGCAAGTTTCTTTATGTCAAAAAAAATACGGGGGGTTAAAAGATACCCAACCCCCAACTTTTTTTAAGGGGGTCGCTTTAATTTTTTTTCTCCTTAGAATATTGGGCCTCCAAAAATAAAAAATAAAACGTTTTTTTGAATGATAGTTTAACGCCCTGTAACTTTGTTAAGAGCCAGTTTTTGATGTAGGTAAATATAGCCAAATCCACTTATTTTTTGGTAATCTATAAGAGGAAGAATTTATGACATACCTTTTTGAAACACCCTGTATATTTTAAATAAAGGTCTGTGTGCAACTAGTTTCGGCGATCATGACCATTATCAGGCTTTTAAAAACCACATTGTAAGAAGATTACAGATATTTAGTGAGTTATATACTTGCATATTGAATGAGGTTATTACAATATTAATTGTAAACCATGGTGTGTCATTTGAAGGTGATGAACGACGTATTTAAGTAATAAATAAGAGATATGGAACCTAAGACGAAAATTAATAAAAATTACTAAGAGGCTAATGCTAAGGTTTGCCGAGTTTGCAAGGATTGTGTATTGTATGCCATGTGGTTCAGCTAAGTGGGTTCAGATGATTGATATAAATACGTTGTGTTGTCCTGTAGAAATAATCTGTGGGAACTACTGTAATAAATGAGTCGTAAGAAAACTATTGGACGATCATTAAATTAGATGTAGTAATTACTAATACCGGGTATCTATATAAAGAAATTAACTTACCGAGGCTTATTGAGAGTAGGACTGAAGTAATAAAATTGACTAATTTTTGAATAATTGTGGTATAGATTTCTTGTGTGACTTATCTCAAATTAAGATTTTCATACTCCCTATTTGAATTATGTTACAATTATATTCACTTCAATGAAGCATAAAATGAATTGTATTATACTTTATCTATTATGAATTGTCCAATTTGCTTTGGACCGCCCGAAATTCAATAGCCGCACCGATTTTATTATTATAAAATATTTTATATTCTGAACATCGCATCGTACAGTTGCATTTTCATCTTGATGTATTTTACTATTCTTATATGCACAAAAACTTATTTAAAATAATATATTTCAATAACTATTTCTCATATTAATTACTGTATTAAAAATTAACTAATGAAAAATGTATAATACAGGTCCCTACCTATACTTTATTAAATATTTTTTATTCCGGTAATAATTAATATAAATAACAAAATAGATGCATAATAACTTCTTTATGAAGTAGGTGAATCATAGGCAAATGTAAACAATATAACAGAACATTATTTCTTTTTACAATTATAACTGAAGCGAAAATGTTATATATAGGTTTTTAAAAATAAAAAACTATAGGTAAGTATTCAAACTTTAAAAAAAAACCAATACGATATGAGCCAAGATCGAATGTGAAACAAGTGCTAGTTAATACATTACCAATAACGACAATATAGAAAATATAAATAATAATTCCAAATATTCTCGTCTAAAGAAGAATCTTCGCCAGAATGAATGATATCCGGTTGGATGGTAAAATTACATAATTGTTTAATTTTAATTACATGATTTAAGGCAGTTTTTTCACAGGCTTTTATGTATTTCAGTTAGCAGTTTTTAAATAATTACTACATGTACACTCAAATTTGGACAATTGTTGCAGTTGAAGTAGTCTTTCAAAACAATAAATTTAGATCTGAGCACAATAAATATTTCAATTTAACATTTTGTATTTGGGCACACAAAATTTCAGTCCAACTCTGGTACGCTTGGAATTCTCGAGGTCATTACGCAATGCATATCACAAGTCATGTGATTAGTTCCTTCCGAAGCAATTGGTCTGACGCGTTACCCAAGGCACGCTTAGTTTTGGCGTGATCTTGCCTATACTAGAAGATCCTTCTTTCTTAACGGCACAAGACCTGTTTTGCCATTCTTAAGATATTTTGGTCAACCGGGAGTCAGTCGCCTTGTTAAATTTAGTATAATAATTTTAAGAAGCCGAAATGTTGGCAAAGTGTGTTTAATTTTACCATGATAGTGCTGTACTAGTTATGTAAATACTGTATATTCATTTCGATTAAATGGTGTTAATTGTAGCCGACCTGTTATTTTCTACAATGACGAAGGAAAACTAGCATCTTTCAGGCAAGCAGTTCACTGCAATCTTGGAAATAATTTAAATGGAAATGTACAGGGATTCACTAAAACAAATACAGTCAACAGTTGCTTTGTCTTAGTTTATTTTTGATATATGCACAAATTAATTTATTTGATTAATGTGCAATAATAAGGGGGTAATCGAAGATCACCTATATGGTATTTTTTTTCAAAATTTTGTTGCTGTACCTATAATTTCGAGAAAATGTTTTTTTTGTATTATATTTGGGGTTATTTAATCATTTTTATACTCATAAATAATAAAATATCTGCTTTTCTGATTGATGTGGTTGGTATTTTATTTAGCTGACATGAATGATAGGATGCATGATTGTCCATAACGATTTTTGGATTTAACGGAACATTAGGTAGAATTTGTTCACGAAACTATTTTTCAAATAATGTGGAAGTCATATCTTCGTGATGATATGTTTCTAAGTCTTTAATTTTTTTAGTAGATTGTAATAACGCATTATTTACAAACTCATCCTAACTTCATGTGTGCAATATTAAAATCCTTTTTCCTTTAGAGCAATAAGGAGTTATTTGGCGCAGTTTGAAGTATTATTTACCCAGCCATATTTTACCAAATTTTTAATTTTTCAACAACAGATAGACAGTATATATTACGCTTTAGTTGAGTCCCATTTAAGATATATGGAATTTTAGAAAAGTTGTAATCGTGAGTTATTCAATACTGTTTTTTGTCTGCAAAAAAGCGTAATACAATTTTTATGTGGAGTGAACAATCTCAACACATTTTGTCAACTCTTTTGGGTAAGAGAATAATTACCGTCAACGACAATAAATTGATAAAAATATTAGGATTAATAATATATTTTGAATAAAGCTAAAGCGCAAACTAAAAATGGTAAGTGTAAAAATATGGTGGAGCAGCTCATATCGCCGCTCCGCTCGCTGTGCACATTGCCGTGTAGGTCGCCACGTATAGACACTCGCAGCTTTAAAACATAACTAATCTGTTCATGTCGCTGTTGATTGCTGTCAGTATTTTAATTTTATTATGCTGGAATGGTAATAAAAATATACACAGATTCAGATAGTTACACTGACTCTCCAAGTAATGCTGTAGAAGAGGTATAGGAGGTAGAACTTACATCAAGTGAATAAAGAACGCTCTAAACTTGGTGAATTCTACCATTCTACCATTTGTTCAAACCTTTATCTTAGACATATCTCTATTGTGGTGCGATTTATATTGCTGATCCCATATTGGAATATTACATTTTCATTTTCACTTTCTCACGGCCTTTTATAGTGCCTATGCTATAAATATTATGTATCGTCAAACAATTAAAAATAATACATAATGCTTGTATTCCACCTAACTTCACAGATCGCAAATAGTAAAAGTCAAAAACCTTTGCAAGTACTTACTATAGTTATTGTTTATTTAACCTCTGATGGTAAATAATTATTAAACTGAAATTTGTTTCACCCTTTAACAATTTACTAAATGTAAACGCTACTGGTTAGAAAACTAAATGGTTTTAAACAGTAACTTCTATGCGAGAAGTGTGACGTAATGGTATCTTCTCTATCTAAGCGGACTTTACCTACTATATCTTTATTAACTGATGTCATTCATTAACTAACTGTTGCATTTGTAGGTTATTTAAAGTTGAACCCAACACAAATTATAAACACGGCCCTAAGGCGCGCTTATCAAATGAACTACTTCTCTCGGTGCAAGCTGCAATCATCTCCATAAGGACAATGAAATTCCAACACTTTGTAAATAACAATTTATTGTGTTAAAACGCTGCACGACAACTATTAAATCTGTACATATTTACATTATTTTTATTTAACAACTATATACACTGCATTAGGGTTGTACATTTTATTTTAGGTATTCTTATCTTTGCTCAGAGAACTTAAGTGATTTATATCACATAAAAGTATTGTTATAATATTAATGAGAGCGCGTCTGTCTTCTATCGGGGCACAGACTTGTCTGCAGTTTTGTGTCGTTTGAAAGAGAGAGATACATATATGTCTACGTGACCTAAGCTAGTTAGCCTTGAGTGTTTCGTGCCGATGTCGCTTTGCGAACACGATAATTGTCATATACCTATTTGTTTACAGCTGGATTTGCGAGCACAGAATCGTCTTTGATATGTTTTGAAACACTAACTAAGGTACATTTAGTTAAATTAGTTTGTTCAATAATTGATAACTTACCTTTTTTGTAACACACTGTAAAGTAAATATGGAATTTCTCTTCAATTCCCACCATCTGCACCTATTTTCCGTTTTTACTAGGTATAGGTGTTTTTATAAGAAATATAAAAAATATTAAATATATAAGTTTATTAATTCTGATAACTTGGTGATTTTACATGTAATAACTAGTCTTAAGAATATCATCAATACATCGATAGTTGGTGTTATCAACCAAAAATACTACGAAAGCAGTTATATATTTTCTTAACACCACCCTCTATGAGACTAAATAAGCCATTACCATTTGTACCACTACCAGTGTCAGTATCTAAAGAACAAATTCCTCTTGCATATGGAGGCGTTTTGGCTCCCATAGGATGTTTGATACCGCCTGTACAGCTTCCTATATATTTATGTTTTTCCTTAATCGTTTCCGCGAAATATTCCCAGCTCTTACTGTGGCTGCAACTGTCGATGGTCTAAAAAATAAAATGAAAAAATTTAATTTAATAACAAAATCGAATAGGACTATACCAGAGAAATTTAAGGTGCTAGCTCAGGTTTCTTCTCAAATCTACAAATACCTCCAATGCAGCATCGGTGTAATAAGTTGTCTTCATACCTAAATCAGGGAAAAACTGATACTAACCAACATGCCTATAAATCAGGAAAATCTTGTAAGTCTGCTCTACATCATCTTGTAACCAAGATAGAGGGAGGACTCAGTAGCCCAAAAATAGTCCTAGAAGCATTTATTGACATAAAAGGAGCTTTTGATAATATCTCCTTTAAATCAATGGTAGCTGCCGCTCGCAAACATGGAATAGAAGACACCATCTGCTGGTGGATAGAAGACATGTTATGCGGACGGCAAGTACAGGCACAAATGTTCAGTAAAACCATGCAGGTGAATATCCACATGGGATGCCCAGAGTCACCCTATGGGCATCCTCTACTGTGGAACCTAGTGGCAGATGAATTGCTGAAAACACTAAACAATCAAGGACTGTACGCCCAAGAATATGCCGATGACATAGTCATCCTTATCCGAGGGAAACACCAAACCACAGTCTGGAAACACCAAACCACAGTCTTTGAACTCATGCAAAGAGCTCTTAGGCTAACAGAAATGTGGTGCGTTAGGGAAAACCTCTTGGTAAACCCTGACAAGGCACAACTCATCGGGTCGGTGGTGTAGCGGTCTAACGCGCTTATATTCATTTATAGGCAAGTTTTTAAGTCTGAGAGTGCTGGGCTTCGAATCCTAGACCAGACCATGTGGATTTTTAATTAAATTGCATGGTTCGGTTTAGGATTTAATGTGTGGCGTATTAATAGAAATTCAATTTCTGTTGATATGGCATGTAGATTATAAAATCGCCATGTATTACCGTCTCGATGATGATGGGTAAGGTTGTCCGGGTTTTCCTCACCTGTAAGTCAAATGGCACCATCAATCATCTTTAAGTCGCCCCGGAGCGCCACGGCAAATAATATTAATAGCAGTCCCTTTCCCCGCACAAGCTCAGCTTTTGGGGTTAAAATTCACTCGTAAGGGGGTGAATTAGGAATTATAACCTTTACTCGGAAAACAAAGTTGGAGGTTTTAGAAACTCCGACTCTGTTTGGAGGAAGGCTAAACAAAACGAACCAAGTAAAATATCTGGGTCTTATCCCAGATAGCAAACTTACTTGGAACCAACACTTACAAAAAGTGACCAACAAATGTAAAATGTCTCTCATTGTAGCGAGACGGGCATTTGGAAAAACATGGTGATTAAAACCAAAAATGGTCCACGGGCTATATTTAGTAATAACAAGACTCATGATAACTTATGGAGCGGTTGTTTGGTGGCCAAAAGTAAACCAGAAAACAGTCCTCAATACCCTCTCAGGAGTACAGAGGCTGGCATGCCTTTGTATTACAGGAGCACTGAGAAGTACACCGACAGCTTCTATGGAAATCATTCGAAACCTCCCAGCCTTTGACCTAGTCATAAAGGGGGAGGCCAGAATGAGTGCATACAGACTGGAAATCTCTAACAACTGGAACCCACTGGGACATATAAAACATAATATTACTCTCCCTAATTCACCCCCTTACGAGTGAATTTTAACCCCAAAAGCTGAGCTTGTAAGAGGAAAGGGACGGCTATTATTATTATTTGCCGTGGCGCTCCGGGGCGACTTAAAGATGATTGATGGTGCCATTTGACTTACAGGTGAGGAAAACCCGGAAAAACTCACCCACCATCATCGAGACGGTAATGTATGGCGATTTTTTATAATCTGCATGTCATATCAACAGAAATTAAATTTCTATTAATACGGCACACATCAAATCCTATACCGAACCATGCAATTTAATTAAAAACCCACATGGTCTGGTCTGGGATTCGAAGCCAAGCAGTCTCTGACACATAAACTTGCTTATAAATGAATATAAGCGCGTTAGACCGCTACACCACCGACCACATACCAGAATAACACATGAAGTAAATGATTCTATATTAAATATGGGATCAGATCACATGACACCCCTCTTAACCTTAAACAGACTCTTCCAGGTCAACTGGAACGAGGTAAATAAGGAGATAGATAAATACTTGTTTAGCGATCTCGTTTGGTATACGGATGGATCTAAAACTAACAAGGGAACAGTCTCTGGCGTACATGGAGTTAAACCCAAATGTGACATCATCGTCTCACTGGGAAAACATATCACTGTTTTTCAGGCTGAACAACATGAAATCGAATTGTGTGTACGAGATAATTTAAGAATGAAGTACAAAAACAAACCATCCTAATTCTCTCAGAGAGCCAAGCAGCCTTAAAGGCTCTTGATTCAAACAGAATCAAGTCAAAGCTTGTCTGGAACTGCTTTGGAATACTAAATGATCTGGCAACCCAAAACAAGGTAAAACTAGCGTGGGTACCAGGGCACAAAGGTATCCAAGAAAATGAAAAGGCTGATGAACTCACCAAAGAGGGACCAGATCTACCATTCACAGGAGCCGAACTTGTATTTAGGATAAGGAAAACCTCTGCTCGACAGGCAGTGAACAAGTGGATAACCACAAAACACCAAATTCACTGACAACAGATAAGAGGGCACAGAATCAGTAAGCTCATGCTAAGGGGACCAAATCCACGCATGGCTACTGAGGCACTACAACTCGCATGGCCTCAGATATCCACCATTGATGGATTACTAATGGGGCACTGCTCGTTTAAACACCTTCATGTAATGGTATTACACAATGATCCCACTACGTGTAGACTTTGCATGGAAGAGGAAAAAACCTCATACCATGTGATCTTCAAATGCGAAGCTCTTACTAGGCGACGTTTCATTCTTTTCAGCCTAGAACCGGAAAGAACGTCCCTGGAACAATTGGTAGGGAACCTATTAAAACTAACCAAAGACACAGGACTATTCCAAAGATAGTACCTGAATACGGGGAAAGCAGGGGAATACAATAGACCCAAGAGGCCGCAGTTTTATGGGCCAAACCTAACCCTACCTGCTTGCAACCGATAAAGGTAAAGATAAAAAGCCCATTATTCGTCTGCGTGAGTTAAGTTTTCAATGTACGTTAAGCGACGTAAAGCTGAGTTTAGGAATCTTGACAGTTGATAGCCTAATGGTAAGGGTACACGTCCGGAAAACGTGAAGATCTGGCTCCCGATAATTCACGCAGACGAAGAATGGACCCAGTATGCATTTAAATTCATTTCTTATTACACTGATGCTGCATTGGAGGTATTGGTAGATTTAAGTAGAAACCAGAACTAGCATCTTAAATTTCCGTTTAGGAATCTCGACAGTCAATGTCGTTAATAGACTCATGGTAAGGGCATACGTCCGGCAAACGTGAAGTTCTGGGTTCGATACTCTTAATAATTCGTAAGGAGATTTTTGAAATTTGTTTCCGAATTTTCAAATCTTTTTAAAAACTTATTTCAGATAATTCTGACTTTTCGGATTTTGATTTGCGATCTACGATATATTAAATTTACAATTTTCAAAAAAAAAATTGTGTAATTTTTTCATGCGCTTTTTTAGGAACATTTTTTGGATCACTCAACCGTATAAAAAGGTCTTTACTCTCTAGAAATTGTTTAAAATAACAAGTTCTTAGTTTATTTTATTGTTTTAGATATTGTACATTACGATTTGCAAATTTTAACGTGTGATAAATACATATTCTCGGAAGTAACGAAAGAAAAATAAGTAATATGAAAATTCTGACATATTTTAATAAAATAAACAAATTTTTCTACACCCACATTAGCTTATCTACGCACAGACTACAGAACAAAAAAGTATCCTATTGCGTTCAACTGAACGCATATATTACTGAGGCCCTTCCTATGGAGCCTCAGTATTTCATTCGTGCAGACGAAAAAATTTTCTTATCCCCATTTTTTAAAACTTTTTTTCATGTTTCCGATCATTCTGAGTCCGAAAATGCAAAAAAAAATTTCGTCTGGTCGTCTGTGTGTATGTATGCCGGTACGATAACTCTAGAACGAAAGTTCTGAATGACTTGCGGTTTTGATTTTCTTAAATAATTACTTCTAACCTAGAACCCTATTGATTTTCAGAATTTTCGGTTCATCCTAACTAATTTAATATCAATTTTCTTAAAATCCGGTTATGTATTTCTTGTGACAATTTTAGGAATTTTAATTATTTCTAACGTCAACATTCCTAACATTCTTAAAATTCCATAAATTGCAAATATTCTCTAACAAACAACAGCTGTTGATAGTAAAGGTGAAATTTCTAAGGCGGGCTGCGACCTTTATACGTACATTTTGGAGGCTATGTTTATTCGAAATTAGTCGCAAGTCTGCCAATTTATGAAAAATATATAAGCAATTTTTTTAAAAATTACTTTTTTATGGTGGTGCTAACTTTACTACTATTTCGCCCCTAGCTACAAAAACACCTTCATCAAATTTACTGGCTCTCTGTCGTAACCCCATAGAATAATTAACCGCCCATGTTATTTGGCGAAAATCAGAATAATGCTTGGCTGTGCCTGTCAAGTATCCAGATGTCAACTGTGATGTGTGAATGGCTCTTAAATGTCAAATTATTTAAAAATGTATGCTTCTTTTGATATTTATTGTAAATAATTTGTAGTGTATCTCAATTCAGGCTTTGAAAATGAACTAATGGAGAAACCGCCCTTGGTAAAAATTGTTTGATAACAGCAAAACTACGGCTCGCTCCAGGCTGGCCAAAATTTTAAATTTTTTTGGGATACATATAAAGTGTGAGGCCGTACCCTGATCCAAAATGTTATAAATAAACTATTCACACAATAATATTTCTCATTATAACTAAAATAAAAAATAATTCATTTAAAATTTGATTTCCATCACATGATTTTTTCATGCCGTTTTGTAGCTTGTCTCTCAAAAAATTTAATTACCAATTTTATTTACCACAAAACTATTCTTACCTAATTTTCTTTTTGTTTAGATAAAATTAAATAATGAATAGTAAATAATGTTTAACATAAAGACTCATTTATAATTAATACCAACAGTATTTTCTGTACTTTAGTTAGCAATTAAAACAAAGACTTATTTACAATAATTAAAATCAACATTATTTTCTGTGCTTTAGTTAGCAATAAACAATTTGATTTTTATTATTTTCATAAAATTTTGTAAAATTCCTAACTAAATATTTTCATTTAAACCGTGTCTTAGTATGCCTTCAGCCCTATTTAGCTTTAATTAAAAAATAATTAGCCCTACCCATCAAATTTCAACACTTATCATCAATAATTTGCATTTTTCTTAAATAGGAATAAATACTAAATAATGTATCAATTAAAATATGTAAGACTTATTTAGAAATAAATACAACAGTATGTTCTGTGCTTTATTTAGCTATAAACAAGTTTATTTTTATTATTTTGACAAAATTATGTATAACTCCCATAAGAAGCCATGTATTTTGAACTACGTAAACCGTACCAGCGCACATGCGGTTAATTATAAAAGCTCAATTGACGTGTGATTTTAGGGACCGTATTTTGAGCATGCCTATTCGCCTCCTTATCTTTAGTCTTCATAGTACAAATAAATTAATAATTGGGTTCTCCGCGTCTACTAAACAACTTCAAATACGACAAATATGCATAACTGGCATGGCCAACTTTGCATATTTGATTTTAATAGTTTTAACATATATCTGTCAAGTTTTAAAATTTTAATATTTTGGTGTAAATTCTTTTTACCGTGGTACTTGTGAGTAAATTATTATCTGGAAATTTTTGCTCATTTCCTGCTATTTTAAGATATTCAGGAGTTTGAAAATATTTCCAAAAATAATTTAGCCACTAGTAGTATTATAAGTTAAAATTATTGTAGTTGAGAATATATTACCAGAATTGAATAATTGTCGCAACCTGGTTGTGGGCTGTCGCCATTATTTGGATAAAAGTCTACATGACCTAAGGTTTTATTTAAACCTAGCCCACCGCCATTTGTGTGAATGATATCTACAAAGTGCGCAGCTGTTTTGCTTAAGTGGATAAGTCTGAATAGAGGACCAGCTGGATCTAAACCTATAAAAAAAAAAAATAATTAGAAAAATTTACACATTTTCTCAAATATCTCGAATACGGTCCATTTTAGAAAAATTAAGTATAGGATTAAAATTATAGAGAATTATATTAAAAGTAACTTTTATTTAAAGGATTTTTTTTCCAAACGTAAATAACAGATATATTTCAGAAAATATAAAAATGACCACCTATAAAGTACCCCCCCAGATGTTTTGACTCTACCCAAAATCTAATCAGTTCATTGGATGCTGGAATAAATCTTAAGTTTAACATTTGGTGTTTTTCTGTGTATCGGTTCATGAGTTATGGTGGACACACACACACACACACACACACACACACACACACACACACACACACACACACACACACACACACACACACACACACACACGCACGCACGCACGCACGCACGCACACACACACACACACACACACGAGGTCGAAAAAAAATCATGATTCCTATACTTTCCTTATATCTGTATACAGATAGGAAAGTAAAAAGAGAGAAGGATCTGGTGGAATATTTACTTAAAACAAATCTCAGCAATCTGGAGCCTTCTCAACTTTTAGATATTTTAAGTACATCTACAGATGTGTTCTTTTCTTACACGGAAACAATATATCAGCCAAGTACTTCATCTAGCAGATAAGTAAAAGTATAAAAATTTATTATTGAAGTATAATCAACTGAGTCCACTAAGAAAATAGATGGTTGGAATAAAATGCTTTAGCTTAAGTAATATAAAGCGAAATGATATAATCAGCCAATTAATAAACACACCAAATCAATTAGATATGGATGAAAACTTTTAAATATATGGTGCTCACAAAAAATCAGATTTCTTTACTTTCAAAGAAAAGCTAAGTTGTCAGTATATGGACAAAATTGTTATTGGTATTACAAAAAAAAAGTTTTTAGTATGAGAGCCCACTTCAAATTTCGACCGTCATCTGATAATGAAATTAAATATGCTCCAAAGGCATGTAACAACATTGTACTTTACCAAATTACACCTGTGCAAATCCCTATCCTGAGCAAAGTGGTTAAAAAAGTTATTTTATATTCCAAAAATCACATAAGACATGAAAACGACAATTGTGTTTTCCCTGAAAATTACAATCCTAATTCATTGTGAACCTAGCTTTTAATCTTGAATTACTAATATTTTTACCTACCTTTTAAACCATGTTTATGTATGAAAGGAAGAAGGATGGCATTGTGTAAACCATTTGCAGAGATAGTCAATAATAATTACAAATTCTTCTTAGACAATTATTTTAAACCATAATCATAGTAGTTTTTTTGTCGTTTCTATGGCAACCTGTAAAAATGAATGACAACAATAGGCATACAAATAAATTTTTAAATCAGCAAACCTTAATTCATATTTTTAATGATTTTTACCTACCAATTGTGGATAGATGTTTTTTTGCGATGTTAAAAGGAAGAAAATGTTTCTCTTTAACGATATATATCAAGATATATTTGATTGTTATTTTCTGGAAAACTTTAAGGGCAAACAAAATTAGCGCTGGTATGCCTTGTGATTTTTTAAATATAAAATAATTTTTTTAAGCCACTTTGCTCAGGATTGGGATTGGCACAGGTGCCATTTGGTAAAGTACAATATATTTCCATGCTTTTGGGGTATAGTTCATTTCGTTATCAGATGACGGTAAAAATTTGCAGTGGGCTCTTGGGATATTTGTATCGCTGCATAATAAGCATCAAATTTGTAAAATTCATAAAATCCAATACGCATTGGTTGTTTTATTTATTAAACAAAACAAGTCGAAATCAATTAAAATAAGTGCAATTATTTAAACGAGCAAATTTTTAAATTTCTGTTGACATTTTCAATTTATAATATTTTGTTCGATATTTAAAAGTACTTTACTCTTCAACATAAAAATCTTTTTTTTTTATTGTTGCTATATACCAATAAATACTTTACAAATTTAAATCTTGAATAATAATTTGTGACTATTTATCAAAAACCTTTTTCTCAAAATTAAAAACAAATCCATTATATGCTGACAACTTAGGTATACACACTGAATAATCTATTAGTTTCAATATTTCTTTTTACCAAAAGCGCTGATAAATCAATCTAGACGACAGAAGACTTTTGTTTACTATGTGATCACAAACAATGAAATAACTCAAGTATGTCGCGCCATGTTCTTGAATACTTTTAACTTGGGGTACAAGACGGTACAAGAGTGGGTTAATAGCAGTAATTGTAGTATGCACCAGAACGCTGAGAGAAAAAAAAAACTGTAAAAAAGGTTGCAAATGCGCCTAAGCTTAGGTATCGAAAATATAGATAAGTTCCTAAATGAGTTACTTAAGCTTCCCTCGCATTATTCACGAAAAGATACCACAAAATTGTTTTTGGAACCAGTTTTTATAACCTTAACAGACGTTTATAAATTATACATAACCCACTGCGTGGAAATCAACTTACAACCTATAACTAAAAAGTATTTTTACAGAAGGTTTAAAGGAAAGGACTTATCCATATAGAAAAATAATCAATGCAATACTTGCTGTACCTACAAAACTGGCAATTTGAAGGAGGACAAGTACACTGAACATAGAAATAGGAAAACGAAATTTTTAAACTTTTCGTTGCGTATTATCAGGCAACCATTCAATGATTGACTTAATACCTGAAGTAACTAGTTTAAGAACCGTGGGTTAAACTGAAGTCAAAGAAAGTGTTATAATTAAATACAAATATATATTAATTTCTTCCGACGAAAACTGAAAATATAAAAATTTATTACGTCAAATATTACGTTCTGACAGTTGTAAAAATTGTCTCAAAAATAAAATATATACCTGTTATCCTAGCAATTTTGATTCCATAAGCCAGTATCAAACGATTTCCTGTGAATCCTACAACGTGACCGCCAAGGCTGTGTCCAATTAAATGAACATCTTTGTCACTGACTCCAACGTGCCTAATTAAATATGCCAAGAATCCTGCCGTATATTGAGCTACTTGAGCTGAATTCGCAGCAGTAATTGGATATATGACATTTTCTGGAAGAGTTAAAAGAAATGGTATATGTTTCGTAACAAGTGCGGAAAAAACAGTTTACTGCAACCATGTAGAGTAACAAATCAATAAAGCATATTTCCCTATAATACATATTATGTGTACATCAAAATTAGGAAGACTAATCAAAATATAAATAAATCAACTGTTAAAAACTAATTTGGAAGCAGAGAATGAATTTGGTAAAATAGTAAAATTAACGTAATAAAGAATTCATTTTTACGTACTTGCAATTGGTGCCCAATCTAAAATAATAACGTTAATATCCTTAACTTCTAAATAATTATTTTTAATCCTAACACATGTATCTGAACTTCCGGAGGATTGGAATCCATGTGTAACTAGTTTAGTTTGTTTTTTAACATCATATTTAGAGAAATCAAAAGTATTTGTCAGATTCGTTCCATCTTTATTTTTTCTAAACAAAAAAAAAAAAATAAAAAATACTAAATTACCTTTTTTAAGTGGTTTTTGTGTTTAGATTCCCTAACAAAGGTCAGATTATGACAGTCACGCAATTCCAGAAACTCGACACAAACATTTAATTAAAACTAATTTTCAGATAGATATATATATCGTTTAAAATGAGTTAAAAACAAAAACAATTTAATTTTAGTTTAAAATTAGTTCACTTTTCTAGACGATAAAAATAATTAGGTGTAACATTATGACTACCTATAGACCGTACTGACGAGCCAAAAAAGGCCTAGGAATTTAGGAGAATACAAAATAGGTCTAGTGTGGCATAAGTGCCGTCGGACAGACCCCCCTCCACAAGATACAGATACAGGATGGTGCTATGATATCTTCGTTATCTTAATTCTTCATCTAACGAGCATATACAATGTTTTAACTTTTCTATCCGGACTCCAGGAGAACAGTATTGAAACACAATGCTATTGAATAGCAAGAAACATAATAATACGTGGCTGGGTGGGGACCACAATACCCCATTATTGTGATCGAAAAGGCGTGGTTAAACCAATTATTCTCTTTATCGCTATCAGACCAAATACACTAATCAAGCGTCTCATATTTATTTTGCATGATGTATCGGGTTAACATTCTCCCAGATAGCACAAAGTCGTCTTGAAGACGTCTTAAAGACGTCTTAAAGACGTCTTAAAGACGTCTAGCATAAGACATTAGAGATGTATTTAAGGCGTCTGGTATTTCCTGAAAGACGTTTGATGTTACAAAAGGGGACGTCTTTAAGACGTCTTATTAATGGCTTATATTGGTCTGTAGAGCTTAAAATAAGCCACAAATAAGACATCTTTAAGACGACTTATTAATGGTCTTGTAAAGCCTTAAACAAGCCATATATAAGACGTCTTATTAATGGATTAAAATGTGAAGCTTTAAATAAGCCATAAATAAGACGTCTTTAAGACGAACTTATTAATAGCTTATAATGGTCTTATGAAGCCATAAATAAGACGTCTTTAAGATGTCTTATGAACAGAGGACGTCGGATATCTTGCTTATTAAAAAGTAGAACAACCTTGCAGGTTATAAAAAATGCAAAAAATAGATTTAAAAATATTTATTGATAAAATATTAATCACAGGTCACTAAGAGTTATTTTCTTTGTAGTGCATTCGATCACTCCTCTTTAGCCATAACTGGATTGATTTTTCTCTTTCTCTTTGATTTGTAGTTGCCTTTGTATAGCTCCTAAAAAGAAATTTAGTTAAGAGCATCTAGTCACAGAAAATTAAACTTTGCAAAAGTTAGTAAAAACCGAAAGAACAGTTATCTATAAAACAAAACAAAAAAATAATTTCTTAAAATTTTAAATCAAAGAATTTTTGTAATTATTTAATGCAATATGAGCTATTGTGATTAATCGCCTAATTTAACAATTTTACTATAACTTCACTCAAAATAGCTATCTAATAAGGGGTTTTTGATATTAGTAGTTCTCAAAATCTCCACAAAAACAAACAAGAATGACAATTGACGAATATCTGAATTAAATCTTATATTAAGATGTTTACTATTAAATTAATTTAATTATATTTACTTAGAAGAAACATGATATTAATGTTCTATGTATATAAACAAATATTCATTTATTACCTGTATTCCAGGAACGTGCTACATCGGTAACAGAAACTATTCTTCCCTCTCTGGTTTTTATCCCATATTATTTAGGTAGAAAAATACACAAATGCTCAAAATAGCCCAAAGACTTTTTTGGTGGCTACAATCGCGTACACAATAAAATAATCAATAATCCATAATGAGCTTGGGCCATACAAATTTTTGGCTTGGGTTTGAATGTACTTCTTCTTTTCTTCGTTTTATATGGGCTCAATCTTTGAGGATTATTTACCCAGCACTATTTTTTTTCAGACTTCTGTCTTCACTTTTTCACTGCACTTGATATTTAATTTCAATATTCTTCTCCAAATTTTACACTGAATATTTTGTTAAGTCGGATGGCCACTTTTATACTAGATATTTTGTGATTTTTATGGGACTTCTGGACTCCCGAAGTCCAGCTTGAATGTAATGTTAAGTCAAACATCAAAGTTCACTTCATTTAATTCTTCTTGTTAAATTTTGCACTAAATCAAGAATTAATAGAATTAAACAGCATGGTAAACATAGCAGAACTTACCCGAGCCGTCAGAGAACTCAACGCCCAATTACGTAAGTGTAACAACAACCCTGCACAATACTTAATGACATTTAATAACTTCATGACAAATTTAGATAAATTCAACATTAGGAACTAGATTCGACAACGTAAAGCGAGACAAACTGAGAATTTGTTTTTATAATGTGCGCGGGCTGCTAAACAAGATCGGTCTTGTAAGCAATTTCATTCACAAACATAAATACGACATAATTATTTTGACAGAGACGTTCCTTAAATCAACGGACAAAGTAAAAATACGAGATTTCACAATAATAAGACAGGACAGACAACAACTACAACAAAGACAAGGAGCGGGAGGGGTAGCTATCTTAATTAAGAAAGATATAATTTTTAAACAGCTCAGAAGAGCACATGTCTCAACAAAACTAGAACACCTTATCATCGAGGTCAATAATATCATAATAATAGGTGCTTATCACACACCAAGCAAAAATTTAATAGGTAGAGATCTGCACATATTGATGTCGAAAGGAAACAGGGTTATTCTGGCAGGGGACCTTAATGCTAAACATCCGGAATGGGACGCTAATTGTATCATCCCCAACCCCAGTGGAATGCTACTGAAAGACTTCGCTGATGCGAATGGTTACATAATACAATACACCGACGAACCGACCTTTTTCCCTTCCTGCGCGACTCACACCCCTAGTACACTGGATATTGCACTAGTCAAAAACATCCCAGACATTCGAAACATGCGAACTATATCCACCCTAAGTTCAGACCACAATCCAGTGTACTTGGAAATATGGACTACTCAAAAAATACCCCGACAATATAGGCAATACTACGACTACAAAACGACAAACTGGGCAAACTACAGAGACGAATTAGACAAATTAATCAAAATCAATAATAAAATTTCAACAAAAGAAATATTAGAAATCGAAACAAACAACTTTATTCACGCAATACAAAAAGCTAGAGACGCTACAACCACACTTAAAACACAAAAACAACACAACGACATATTGCCTATAGAGATTACGGACATGATAAATAATAAAAATACCATTAGAAAAAGATGGCAACAATACAGACAGAGCGACGATAGGGTTAGTATGTATAACATCGCTAAGACCATCAATAAAATGATCAAAGAACACAGAAACAATAAATGGAAAACCACCCTATCGGAGCTCAAACCACACGACAACTCATTGTGGAAAGTAGTGAGAAGATTTAAAAAATCTAACTCGCTGCTTCCCACAATGAAACGAGGACCAGACTTACTAAACACTGACAAGGACAAAGGACAAGCATTCGGCGAACTCTTTCAGTCTAACTTTGTCAACAAACAAGAAAACAATCCTGAACAGCAGCGCATTGAACTTGTAGTAAATGCGCTGGAACAGACGGAACCACAATTAGTGCCACATTCCTTCTACACCTCCCCTAAAGAGGTATGTGAAGTAATTAAGAGTCTCAAAAATAGAAAAGCTCCGGGACCGGACGACATCAGTAACATTCTAATTAAAAATATGTGTAGAAAGGCTGTCGTGCAGCTCCACCACTTAATTAATGCCATTTTCAAGCTACAACACTATCCCAGTAGCTTGAAAATGGCAAATATTATCCCAATTTTAAAGCCGAACAAACCGGCCAATAAGATAGATAGTTACCGCCCCATTTCCTTACTGAACACAATAGCTAAAATAACGGACACTGTAATTTTGAATAGACTTAAAAAAATCGAACAACGACTACAAATTATCCCACGGGAACAATACGGTTTCAGAGAGGGGCATAGTACAGTGTCACAAGTCCTTAGAGTTGCGCATCACGCGAAAGAAGGTTTTAACAATGACCTCCAAACTGTTTTAGTCACATTAGACTGTGAAAAGGCCTTTGACACCGTATGGACCCGTGGGCTAATACACAAAATGCTTGCGAATGATTTTCCCGTACACATTATAAAAATAATCCAGTCATACTTGACGGACAGACAATTTTGTATTAAGATTAATTCCACAATAACAGGACCTTTCCTAGCGAGAGCGGGAGTACCCCAGGGCTCAGTACTTTCGCCGCATTTGTACACAATTATGACCTGTGATTTACCCATGGGTGATAATGGTGTACAGACGGCGTTGTACGCCGACGACATCTGTGTTTTTTCTAGTCAAAAATCAGCCCAAGACGCCGTCAGAAAGCTGGACAGCCATATAAACGGACCGTTGATCACCTATCTAGCAGACAACAAAATCAAATTAAATTCAAATAAAACCGAGACAGTACTCATATCGAAAAGGCGGATCGAAGGCATAGACACGCCCCTTCGGGTCCAAGACCAGCCAATAGAATCAAAAGCCGCTATTAAATACCTAGGATTTCAGCTAGATAGGGGATTAACGTTTCGACAACACATTTTGGACAGGGTAGCTAAAAACTGTGGGGTTATTAGGACTCTTTACCCCCTAATGAACAAACGGAGTGGAGTTACTCTGTCAAACAAAATATTACTGTATAAAACAGTGTTCAGACCAATACTAACGTATGGCTGCCCAGTTTTCAACTCAATGGCACAAATTCATTATAACAAACTCCAAAATGCCCAAAACAGATGTCTGAGGCTAGTTCTAGGGTGCGACCGCTACACTAGAATACGAGACATGCACGCTACGACAAATATGCCACTCATTAGAGACTTTATCATCAAAACAGCCGAAAACTTCTACGCGCGATGCCTCCCCGATGAGTTGAGGGATAGCATCATCAACATACATCGGGAAGACGGCGTACGTAGAAAGCACGGCTGTCTACATCAATGTTTGAGCATATACCGACGACAATAACAGGACCCTCCACTGAGCATAACGTACTAAACAACAATTCACCCGATGTAGATACTTACGAGATCTAGTCGGACGGACGACTGAACGGTGAAATCGACTGGCAGTGCCACGGCCGAGGGCGATCAGTACACCTAGAGCTTCGTCTAGGGACAGTTGCCTGCAAAAACCACGCCGGTTTTTTATTGTTATCAGTTGAAATCTACAAATAAACATAAACCGACATTTTTACATTTAATCTAGTCACAGTAAACACACCGCAGCATCAGTAGAGGTACTGCGGATGCAAAAGCCCGAAAGGGCAGCCGTCACAACTCCTAAAGCCTTCCAAACAGTGTATTCCAAGAGATTAAAGAGCAGATGCCGCCCTGATCTAGAAGAAATCTTAAAAGTCTCAAACCTGAGCACTCCCACACTATTTAAGGCCAAACATAAACTCAATCCACACAAAACAGTGAGTACAGACCATCTTCCACTAACCGTAACTAACCCGGGGGAAATCTGCCCAAATGAGGGGGACCCCCTGGCCAAAATTTTTATGATTCAACCTTCAAATGACCCCCAAACAGTTAGTGAAGAATCAAACAGCATATTACCTGATCATACATCCATATCAGGTACAGGAGATAAGAAAAGGAAAAAATCACAAACTGTTAGCCCGGAAAACCTCACAATAAACACTGATTCAGAATCAGACATGGACGATTTCCATGATTCTCAAGAAAGCACGGAGAACCTATCTCCACAAACAGTAAGAGGTAACAGTGATAACGACATGGACACAAGCGACCCCATAGTCCCCCAAAATAATGAAGAAACCAACCAAATGGTTAAAGATCTATACGGTGACCTAGAACAACCCCAAAGTGGAAATAAATCAGTAACTCAAAGCAAAAGTATGGATAACTTATCAAACACGAAGGAATTCGATAACTATGGATCTTACAGATCGGAATATGCGAAAGAGGCAGAAAAACCCCTCAAAATAAAAATAAAAAGGGTGGAAATGCCCGCGAATGTGGTCAGAAGGACTTTAGATTTCCAAAGATCCGAAAATACCTCTGAAGAGGAAAGAGGAGCTCAATCCCTACTACTGCAGAAGTCTTTAAAAGCAGCACAAGAGGCAAATAACCGACTCCCAACCCCTCCAATAGCGATATCCCAACCCCAAGAGAATAACACTTCCGTATCCCAAACATTTTTCTTTCTTCCCCCACCAATAAACTCACAATCCACACAAGAAAGCCTCCCATCAACATCCCAAGCATCTCAATCACTCCTACCCCCATCCTGCCAACTTTCCCCAAACAGTAGAGGCCTAACGAGATGGTCAAGCCAGAAAGATTCGGCAATCAGAAAGGAGATTTTAGAAATTGTCAACAAAGACTCAACAGACACAGATATCTTCGAGGTTCCGAAAAAATCAACAAAACTAAAGCATCTCATCCAACAAAAAGCAAAATCGACACTCAGAACAAAAAATCAGTTCCAGGCACTCACGGACGAGTCGGACAAAGATGATGACAGTGAGGATGATGAAAATAATAGAAACAGGAGAAAACGTACCAAACCTAATACTCCCAAGGCTAACGGCAAAGATAAAACAGCTACAGTCACAGCTAAGCCAAAAAAGGTCACAATACCCCCCATAGTCATTGACGGGGTAACAAGCAACCATAGGGAGATGATGTCTAATCTCAAAGAGACAATTCAAGGGGTTTTCTCAGTGAAACACACAAATCAATCGACCATACTGTTTGTAAATGAAGAAGGGGATTACAACAGAGTACTCACAAACATCAGAGCGGAAAAAATCCCTCACCACACCTATACCCAAAAACAGGATAAATCCCACGCTTTTGTTCTAAGAGGGATGACTAGTGGAACTGAAATCGAGGATATTAGAGAAGACCTTCAAATAACCTACGAAATAAAAGCTAGAGAGATTTTCCTCATGAAGACGAAAAACAGACCTCTATATCTGATCGTCACCGATCCAGCGATCACCCTGGACTATTTGAACAGGAATGTAAGAGTCATCTCCAATACTCGAATCACTTGGGAGCTACGAAGATCAGTAAAAATGATCATACAATGCCATAATTGTCAGTTGTGGGGGCATGCAACTAGTAATTGTGGACGGGCCTCCAGATGCTTGAAATGCGCCGGGGATCACCACACTAGAGCCTGTCTCAAGACCAGAGAGACTCCAGCGAACTGTGCAAACTGCGGTGGTGATCACCCCGCGAATTACTCGAAATGCCCAAATTATGTGGAAAGAATCGAGCGACTGGAACTCAAAAAAGCAAAAAGTGAACCCAAAAAATACTCTCAGGCACCTCCACCCAAAGTAAATGCCTGGAAAGAGAGAGAAACAAATAGACCAAGCAGAGAACATTTTCCAGCATTACCGAATAGAGGCCAGAACCAGAATTCGGCACCACCCCAACCTTCCCAACCCAGAACTTCAGCCCCAAGAGCAGGAGACGGTTTCAACGAACTAAATGCAGAACTCGATGAATTAAATAGGTTGGTAAATCTTTCAGAATTGGCTAGAGCGGTTAGGGATCTCAATAATCTTTTACGCGCTTGTCCCACCAATAAAGACCTATTCACAGCGTATCAAGACTTCTATGATAATATCAACTCATACAAATTCCGGAACTGAACTTGGTGAGGCAAGCGCAGACAAATATAAAATATGTTTTTATAATGCGAACGGGCTGCATAACAAGGCACTACTTGTTAGCAATTTCATTCACTATCATAATTTCGACATAGTCTTTATTTGTGAAACAAGACTTAGGGAAAACGAGACATTCAGAATACGAGACTATACGGTAATAAGACAACACAGACAAGATGACGGCGGTCACGGGGGCGTGGCCTTTATTATTAGGAAAAACATTAAATTTAAAAGAATGAAAAACGTAGAATCATCACTCGAGAATTTAGTCATAACAGTAGGTAATTTCACATTCGTTGGAGTATATAATAGTCCGGATAATAGAATTTCTAACATTGATTTAGACAGATTAATGTCCACAGGCCAGAGGGTGGCCCTAATGGGTGACTTAAACAGCAAACATCCCGAATGGGACGCTAACTGCGTCAGACAGAACAAAAATGGCAAGACTCTGAGAGATTTCGCCACAATGCACGACCTTAACATACACTACACGGACACCCCTACATTCTTCTCATTCAATGACAACTTTACCCCTAGCACCCTGGACTTAATGGTAACTAAAAACATAACGGACGTACGTAACATAAGAACCATCCCCTCCCTAAATTCTGACCATGACCCTGTAGTCTTAGAGATAAGAACCAATAACAAACCCCTAAACCAACCGGGCAAATTCTATGACTACAAAAAGACAAATTGGAACAATTACAGACGAACACTAGACACTCTCATACAAATTCAAATACCAAATACAAAAGACGAAATAGACACTGAAATAGACAAAATGATTACAGCCATTAAATCAGCCAGAGACCAATCGACTCCACTCTCAGTACGTAAACAACACAAGGAAGTAATAACACAAGACATACACGACCTAATACGTAACAAAAACTCAATAAGAAAGAGATGGCAGACATACAGATTACCTGAAGACAGAATGAGACTACATGACATTTCTAGACACATTACCTACTTATTACAACAACTACGTAACGAAAAATGGAACAAGACTCTCAAAAACCTAAATACTCAAGATAACTCTATATGGAGAATTGCGAAAAGGTTTAAAAAGCCGTATTCGCAACTCCCCACGCTTGAAAATGGACAAAACAAATACATAACAATAGACGAAAAAGGTCGTGCATTTGGAGAATACTTTCAGGGTATTTTCACTAACGATATAGCAAATAACCCCCAACAGCAAATAATTGAAAATACAGTTACGGATTACATTAACAACATTATTCCTGAAGTAAATCAAATAGACCTCACAAACCCCAAAGAAATTGCAAATATACTGCACGGATTACGCAATAGGAAAGCCCCTGGCCCGGATGCAATAAACAACATTTTATTAAAAAACCTATCTAAAAAAGTAATCGTTCAACTCCATTATATTGTCAATTCCATTTTAAAAATACAATATTACCCCAATTGCCTCAAAATAGCAAATGTCATTCCAATTCTGAAACCAAATAAAAGCAACAAAATGGTGGAAAATTACCGCCCAATTTCGTTACTTTCGGGAATTTCCAAAATTATAGACCGCGTCATTCTTACGAGACTACGCTTAATTGACGAGGACAAGCAAATCATCCCTTCTGTCCAGTACGGTTTCAGACAGGGTCACAGTACAACAGCCCAAATTATTAACATCTCACATCAAGCCAAAAAGGCGTTTAACACTAAAAATCAAATGGTACTCGTGGCCCTAGACACCGAAAAAGCCTTCGACACTGTCTGGACAGCAGGGCTGATTCACAAAATGATTGTAAATGATTATCCCGGTCACATTATAAAAACAATTCACTCATACCTTAATGACAGAAAATTCTACATTAAAATATTCAACTCACTTTCAGGACCATACAGAGCTGATGCAGGTGTACCCCAGGGTTCAGTACTCTCGCCGCATCTGTATACCATTATGACACACGATATGCCGCTGGGTCAGAATGGGGTACAGACGGCGCTGTACGCCGACGACACCTGTGTGTTTAAGTCCTCAAAATCCGCAGAAATCGCTACAAGAAGACTGGACATCCATGTTAATAGAACGTTGATCCCCTATCTAGATTGCAACAAAATGAAAATTAACCCATCGAAAACAGAAACAGCCCTTCTATCACAAAGGAAATCAGAAGGCATCAAAGGTCACTTAAAAATAAATAATCAAACCATCAGAGCCAAAACATCAATAAAATACCTGGGTTTCCATTTAGATAGGAGATTGACGTTCAAAAGGCACATAATGGACAGAATTGCTAAAACCTCCGGTATGATTAAGACCCTATATCCGATGCTAGCAAAAAATAGCAAAGTTTCACAAAATAATAAACTACTCTTATATAAGCAAGTCCTGAGGCCTATATTAACATACGGATGCCCAGTCTTTTGTTCAATGGCGAACACACATTATAAAAAACTGCAAATTACACAAAATAGGTGTCTTAGGCTAGCCCTGGGATGTGCATTTGACACCAGAATAACAGACATACATGAAAGAGCCAACATACTTCCTATAAAACAGTATATTACAGATATGTCCAACAAATTCTATAAAAACTGTCTGCCACAACAACTTAAGGCAGACATTTCTCAGTTCACGGAAGAAAATAGCCGAAATAGAAAGCATCGTTGGCTCCACGAAAACCTTAACATTTACAGACGCTGAGACCAGACAAAAATAAAGCACAATAACGAGACAATCGTAGCATATTATGATTACTTGTCATGCCCATGGCCAACTGAATTCACAACTCAGAAAGCACGCGACTATATCGGAAGGTGGGAGGGGCCTAGGCTCGGAGCACTGGCCATTGGCTGATGCTCCGGTCCAATGCCGTTCTGATCTGCCGATAGGGTCGAGCATGGGTATGAGATACACTAACCAGAGACTAAACAGACAAACACCCCACGCTTCTAAACCCTGTTTTTTCACCAGCTTTTTCAGGGAAAAACATACAGAATTAAATTCAAACAATAACAATTATTAAGATCACTAACCGCTGAACGCATAATAAGCCACAACAGTCAAATAATACCACACCTAGGTAAGGAGTTGACTTCTGCATTGATTTGACAAACGTCGGAAACAGGCAATAGGGCAGAACATCAGCCAATAGGACATCGTGGAAGATGAATACTATATATTGTTGTTTTACGATGTAAATAAAAATCTGTAAATATTTTAAAAGGAAATAAATGATTTGATTTGACGGCCGAGGGCGATCACCGTCCCCGACTTTGGCACTTTCGGGTGGTTTTACAGTCCAGTAGTCCTGTGAATTGTGACAATAACGAAGACTATCGAAAGACCAACATACAACGCTGACAACCCTGTTTTTTCCTAGCTTTTTCAGGGGACAAATACCAAACTAATTCCCGACAAATCTCTAAACTAAGACAATTACCGACTACAAAGACACCACAACCCCTTAATAATGCCTATTAGGCAAGGAGTGAGGGCTGCTATGTTTAGCCAAGTCATCAAATTTAAACAACCCTGTGTAAAATAGGTGAGAATATCGCCATTGGCCCAGCAGGCAACTGTAAAAGCCGACCCAAAACCCCCGGGAATTGAGTTTTTATTTTATATGATGTTGTATATATGTGAATATTTTAAAACATGTAAATAAAGTTTTCTAATGTAATGTTTGTCAGACGTCTTAAAGACGTCTTTGAGCTTTCACATTTATATATGGATTTGGCAAGACGTCTTAAGAACGTCTTTGAGATCTCACATTAATACGTCTAAATTATGGCTTTTTTAAGACGTCTTAATAACGTCCTAGGATATTGAGACCAAACCAAGACACAAAAAAGACGTCTTTCAGACGTCGTGTGCTATCTGGGCTGTATATTGAGTATGTATTAGATTATATTAAGAACAATAAAATTAAAACTACTGTTTCTTATTTTAAATTTTAAAGTGACAGCACATATATGCATAATTAAAAATATTCATGAATCTTTTGGTCCCATATTCATACAAAATACTCTGTTCCAGTAAAGATAACGAAATATGATGTCCTACAGAAAATACAAGCAATCGATTCATAAATAAAAAATGTCATCAGATAGAACAAATATTATTCGTAATTTTATAAAACCTAAAGGGCGAAATTCCGGGAAAGGGCTGAAAACAGGTTCTCCAATTAGAATTGGATCCAGCTACTGGCTCCCTTCAATATGGTTTAGGTTCCAGCATGCCTTTGCTTCCTCTAGGGTTCGCAGAGCAGCATTGCAGCCTCAGTGGCTCATTGTACCACTTCTTAGATGACCTAATCATTTGAATCATGCATTCTACCTATACTAAAGTATACAGCCACATAGAAAACGAGTAAAGCGTGTTTAGCCGTTTTTGAAGCGTCCATAAACAACACAGTACAAATCCATACAAGTAGCCACATAAAATGCGTGTCAAGCTTCCCGCGCTCCTTCCTTTAAAAGCAAGTGAAGTTGGAAACAAATTACTTTGATTTTTGTAGTAAGTGTTTGGCCACACAGAAAGAGATTAAAGAGTTTTGGACGCTTTTAGCGGCTCAAACTGGTCGAGTGTGTTTCGCGTTTAGAAATAACATATTACAAATAAATGCAAGTGGTTACATATAAAACATGTCAGGCTTCCCGCGCTTCTCCCTCTAAACGCATAGGTAGTTGGAAACAACTTATTTTGATTTTTGGCGTGTAGCGTGTAGCATCTTTTACGTTTTTAGTTGTTGATTAGACGTTTTTAGTCTTTTTCAACTTACCTTATTATTTTCTCTATAATTTAACTCTATTTTTTTGTAATTGAAAATGAATTCGGCTTGTTATTATATCGAAAAATTCAATGGTCATCCTAATGGACCTCAAATATTTTTTTTAGGTTAATTAACTGTTGAAATAGGGTGTAATATTCACCTTTAGCCTTTATTTCTATATTTAAGTTATGCAATCATTAAGATTTATCACCGTCATCCAATTTAAAATTA